ATGAAAGACATTCAGGCGATGGACAGGGCGCACCGAATCGGCCAGAAACGCACAGTCAACGTTTACCGACTGATCACCGCCGGCAGTTTGGAAGAGAAGATCATGCGCCTGCAGAAATTCAAGACCTACACAGCAGATGTGTTGATTGGCGAGAACAATCGTTCACTGATGTCCATGAAAACTGACCAGCTGCTAGACTTGTTGTCTCTAGAGCCGACCACTGCTGTCTGTTCTTCATCATGTCCCTCTTCATCTACCGAGGTAAAGAGGCGAAAGGATAGCAGTGGCGGTGGTGGTGTTGCAGAGGTGTTGTTTGATTTGCCAGACCTTTGGGACGAAAGCCAGTATGACGAGGCATTTGATTTGAACACGTTTTTGTCGTCGTACTCGCGATGATATTGTTTACGTCAAGAGTTTGGTCCGCGATTTGGTCTCCTTCATCTTGCCCAGTTAAATGTTTTCTATTCGACGAAAGAATTCTACAGAACAACAGGGCCCTACTGTCTAAAGAACAAAGAAATGGAGCCTGAATCGAATCACTATTTATCATTACCAGCATTGAGTATGAAAAAGTCGTCGAGTGATTCGCTTTAGAAATGACAAATGCCGTTCAGATTGATTACATCTGCTTTCTTCTTGTTCAGTTCAGCAAATTCATAATCTGAATCGATGTGCGGTGATTTGGCTTCGTTGATTTACTTCATATATTCACATGAGTTTCATTTTCTAAACTGCTCTTGTTCTGGAGAGGAAATGAATGAAAATCTTGAGTTTATTGAGAGAGCCTGGTTTAAGAATCATTTAAATAATTGTATGGCCACAAGCTGAACGACAGTGTTCCATGAAACTAAGTGTCGAATGACGAATGACAATGGCTGGAACGGTTAATTTAAATTTCGCTTATGATTTGAGGAATGAACTTATTGCTTCCATGACTGTCGTTCATTGTATGTAGTAACCTGAAGATGTTCTTGGTTGTCAGTAACTAAACATCTCAATGAATAGTAAATGATCTTTGTCCTGTGGGTGTTTATTGCAGTTCGGCCTTAATCACCAGGTTTAAATGCTCTCCTCCTAAGTAACTAGGAGTAAATGAGTACTTCAATATGTCGTGAAATCTGGCCTTAAAGGATTTATGCGTTAATTGACATACCATGATTACGAATATGACTTTGACGTGTATGTATTAGAATAAAAGGAGTGCTAGTTCCAGAAACATTGTTGTTAATGAGCGGACTGTATGATGGGAGATGCATCGGCACATAGATACTCAAATTCCATGGAGCATCCCCCCACGCAACTAGGAACAGGGAACTGTGCTCTGCACCGTACGTGGTCTTAAAAGAGTTATGTACCATTGATTAATTATGAATCAACAAACTCAAGATTCATCCAAATATGATACTTTCATAGTTTGAAGTTTGAATCTTATGTATGGCTTTAGTGCTTTTTGTCTTAAGACGATTTCAGCCACGAATAAATTTAGTTTTTAGTTATGTACGCTATAATATTTGAGTTGGCTTCAGTTAACTAATTGGTCAGTTGCCATGTTTAATATAAATTCATTTTCCCTTGCCTAATGGTAACTGGTTTGACTTCGTTTCTCCCTGTCAATTGAAATCGCAGTTTCGACAACCTGTCCGGTAAACCTTGCACACTGTAGCCGCGTACGAATGTTTTAGTCACTGTAGAACAGGCACTAGCTCAGCACATCAGTTCAGCAAGACTGATATATCTACATTTGTAGTGCAGACAATTAACCAGTTTATAAAAACTTTGCTAGGGTCGATAAAAACGCAGTATGCGACGATTACTGTGTGTCTCCTAGCAAAAGTGCAAAAACGGCTGTTGTAAGGAAAGTTTTTTTGGAACGACGAAATTAGGCTCATAACTAATTTTGGGCGACTAAAAGCAAGGGGGCAGGGAAGTGTAACACTGCGGTACTATCCAGTGTAAGACTTTCGTCTGTCTTGCACTGCTGCAGCGTCGGTGTAATGTAAGAAATAAAATTTTTGTTCTTTACAAGGTACGTTTTGCCATTTAAATTCGGTATCGTTATTTATTTGTATCGTCATATTCGGCTCCCACACAAGAAATTCATGGGCTGGAGTAAATGGTAATTCTTTCTTTAATCTTCATATCTACCGAGGTCACCTGGTTCAGGAAGAATGTTGAATTATTCCTTTTGTGGTCTTGATATTTGACTCTCATTATGCGCCAATGCTAACGCAGTACCATCGTAGATCTTGCTATTTCATCACAACAACTGTTTCCTTGCCGTGCAAAATTGACCTGACAAAAACAAAGTACTCGCTAATTTTCGTAAAAAGACTAACTACGTTCCCAGCTTAAATGTTCGATAAGTTTTTTTTAAAAAACATTCGACATTAGCGTGATCCTTCTGTTTAAGCCTAGCTGGACAGTGCAATTGCCGGAGATGATGGAACCGAGGTATTGAAATTGATCAACCTCCTGAGGGGGTTAAAGTGTTCCACTTGTAAATCAGCTGTGCCAGAGGGGTACTTCATAACTTTTGACTCTCGGACGTTAAGGGCGAGTTCAGCCTGCTTTCGCAGCTGTGTTGCATACAGAAGTCGTTAGGTGACATAGCCCGCTTCCCGTAGTACTCACTAGGATAATATCGTCTGTTTATTCCGGTTCAGCAAGATATTCAGCCTGACGTCTTGGACTGCCCTTTTTTTATAGAATGAGACCTTCGCCTTTGTCAGGGTCAAGGCTGTTTTGCAGGAGCAAGTCGAAAATAACGTCGAATAGCATATTCGAAAGCGCATCTCCATAGCGAACTCCACGGTTAACTGGAAATCACTCAGATAGTTCTTTAACTTTGGCAGCAGACATGCTTCTGCTCACATTTCTTCCAAAATGGAAACGAGGTGATAAAGTACCCCATAGATTTTCCACTGTATCTATGCATGTATGTATTCGGACGATTGAGATAGTCAAATGTTCCGAAACTGTCAAAGCAAGGCAAGTGGAATAATCGGCATTGTTCGCTGTTCCTAGGCGACTGAAAATTGGGTGGGGGCAGGGGTATCCCATCGGGAAGCCTGCCTGAATGTGACGAAGTCTCCAATGAACTGCCTGCCTCAGATTTTTCAGGATAATCTAGTAGAAAGTTTCCTGGGAGTACTGTGGTACCTTGATAATTGGAACTCGCAGTTCATTTGTCCATATGTATCTATAGAGACAGTTTCTACACACTTATGGTCTTAAGGAATCATCAGTGCGTCCACATTTAATGAAAAAGGGCATGAAATTCTTCTACCATTCCCGTTCGTCAATCTAATTAAGTCCGGAGCAATTCGATTGACCGCAAACACCTTCTTCTTTACGCCAAGGTGTAGTAAGGCTTTAGGATTTCTAGTTTCATGGGTCTGTCTGTACCTGTGAGTTCTGTGACTTTGGCAGAGAATAAATGGCGGGAGCTCATTTATTTTTTTGAAACGTTCTTTCTCATCTGTTAGTGGGACAACCGTACCTCTTGGATAAGGAGACAGACCGAGTTCCCTGCTTTTAAGACAGTGATAATACCGCACTCCTTTGAACACTGTTCGTCAATCACCTTTTCTAGTTGCCTTATGGATTTTCCCGTTCCTGTTTTCCTGTCCTCCTTCAGCCAAAGCTCCCAGCGCCACCTGCCGCTCTTTTATACTGCACTAACACGTCGGCAATGAACTGCCTTCGACGCAACAGTAGGGTGTCGCAAGTAGTGTTTCTTTGCTTGATTCCTTAGCACTATAAAACCGGGTCTCAGGGTACCCAGGGATTTTTTTCTATTCTTTTCCTGACCATTACTACGTTTGCCACCGAGGAAATGGCAGGTTCTTTGAAGGCATTGTATGCTTCATTGACGTTTCCACTTCAGAATAACTCCCTATCTGCTTTTGGTAGGCTGACCGCACCGATTCGTAGTATTTGAGCCTGTGAACATCGAGCAGTTGATATGTTTCAACTGTGTTTCAGGTGACGTCAATGTGTTCCAATTTTGGACGAACATCCTCTACGATTACATGGTGATTATAACAAATACAGTCGCCAGGCTTGACGCCACTCTCTAATAACGAACTGCCCCATTTACGTTGATGACTACGTGGTCCAGCCGAGTGAGTAGGCTTCCATCGGGAGGGGACCGTTGAGGTGCTTTGGGGAATATGCTTTTGAGGACAAACCGCTCCGCCGATAATTACGCTGTTTGTCACACAGTAACGTAACAGACGCCTGTCACTTTCATTTGCGCTGTCAATACCGTGACGGCCGACTACGCCTGGCCACGTGCTGTACTTGGTGTCCACCTTGTCCTTCGGCTGATGCCTCCTATCACAATTGAGACGTCATGATGCGAAACCAAGCTATCAGTCGACTGCACGCAGTCATAGAAATTTTCTTTGTCCGTCTCACCCGACAAATTTGCCGAGGAATTGAGGATAATGACATTGAGCATCGCCTGTTTGACATTTACGCGACAGACCAGTATTTTTCTGACACCTTTTGCACCGAACTGATCACCCGGCTTACGTTAAAGGACAAAAGGCTGCACACACCGGCACGGCGTAATCTAACATAGTCTAACCACGCTGTCTATCAAGCAGGTCTGGCGTCCCCATCCCTGGGAGGTGAGCCTGGGTGGCCGCCTGTAAACTGAGTGTGTACGGACGTCCTCTTACTTACCTTCGCCAGGCAGTAAACGAATGTTTCAATATGCCACACGGAACTGGCCTGTTTCTGTGTTGATTCCTGGAATTGCGGATTTGTTAATTCGTATTTGTCTGTAAACTGCGAAGGAGAATTTGTTTGCTGTGCTACTAATTACCGCGGTTCGCTAAGAAATCAGCCTGGCGATTGACCCCAGTATTTAGTAACCGACTTAACGCCGAACCATAATTTAACAACAGCAGAATCAAGAAGCAGTGTTAAATTGACCGATGATGATCATTATCAGCTTGATAAGTCCAGTAACCTCATCAGTCTCTTGTCGAATGCGTCCCTCCCAAAGTTTTGATTCACCCAGTCCCTGCCGCGGGCAGCACAAACTTTGTTCAGGCGGTCATCGGCGATTATGCTTGCCATGGCGTCGGCAAAAGCGGACGGTGAGAACGGAACCAGCACTCCGGTCTGATTCGGCAGCACCGTTTCGTTGATGCCGCAGCCGTCGACGGCGATCACCGGTTTGCCGAAATGCATAGCCTCCAAGGGTCCAATGCCGAAGTGCTCAAACGGGGCAGTGTACAGAAGCGCTCGACAGCCGGCGAGTAGCGTCGCCTTCTTAGCTCTCGAGATGTTCTCCAAAAACTTGACATTCTCAGATACACCGAGACTCTGACTAAGCCTCTTCAGATATTTAGAGTAGTTGGCGCAGTACGACAGGCGGTGCTCGACGCTGCCCGCCACCACCAGTTCGATATTCATCCATTGTAGTCGCTGCAACTTCTGCTTCAGTATACCTATAGTTAAATGACTTTGTCATAACTATCAAATATGACAACGTAAATAAGCAAAGTGACCTCCAACAAACAAGTAATAAGCAACAAAAGGAAAATGCACAGTAGGCCTCTAGCGCACCAACAAAGTTATCGAATTTCGATATGGGTAAAACAAACATTTGACACTGTCAATACGTTCTCGGCTACATTGCTAACCCAAGGTTTGCAACCTGTGTGATTCTGTTCTCAAAGGTACAGGAAGGTGATGTTAAAGAAGAGGGGACTGGTAATTACAACGCAGGAGCTGCAAATCAAATGAGAATTCGACAGCATTATTTTAACCGAGCTGTATAAAGCTGCAATTGTTAGGTTAAACATTAGTGGTGGTGGAAGTCACTGGAACTGCGACAAGGACGGATCGAAAGGATGAAGACTGTCGCATAAGCGATTAAAATTGCCAGTAATAATCTTTGTAGAAGATACACAGTTGATACTGCCTAATGAAGTCATTATCAAGACCTTACTCGTCTTCACTCCTTATTTGACAGTTAAGTTGTTCTATCATGCTGCTGGTTCGTCTAAGAAACCATGATCCAGAAGAAAATGACTGCAAAGGTCAATGTTGTAAACCCTACACCCAACTCTTATCAAATGTGTATGGCACCACAAAGCCAGATACGTAGGTTAGGTATTACAATAATTCTGAGAAAAGCAGCAATTTATTTTTCCTTAATGCTGATAACGTTCTTATGTACATGTGAGTACCTAGGAAGCACGTGTGATATTCAGTTCATATTTTCTCTTTTTTTAATAACGACCCTTTATTCTGATTTTATGGTGCTGAATGTCTAATCACTGTAAGAGACAGTGGGTTCTTGTGATATTCTCAGTGAACATGGGTAAATAAACTTGAACTTCTAGAAATACCACAGTGCACCTAAATCATTTGTTCTGATTTCTTATCAGATTATCGTACTCCTAAGAATACTAGCTAATTCTAAATGGCATGGGAAAATATGTTGTTCTCTGGCCATTGTTACCTTTTTAATCGGTCTTTTCAAGGTTACTGAGAATTCACAACTTTTTATGACTGCGTTGCGGTTGAGATGGGTGGATACCCTCCATTTTACTTCGTTTTGCCATGCTACAGAATACTTTATAGGATATTTACTCCGCAAGGCGACGGCGTAAAGTTAATTTAAGGAAATCAATTCAGAGTCTAATACTCACACAATAGAACCCAAATAACCAATACAATTACAACCACCACACTTGTACAGGTTATATATACGTTTCTTTATCATGAGATGGTCGTCTCATTCTACTTTTTTCCTCATGTTCCTGACCAGTAATAACTGAGTGTTTTAATTGCAGCGTAAATATTCACTGATTATGGAGACGTGCCTAGTAGCAACAGTGAAAACTAGCGTTCGGCATAAACCTCACGGTGATGTTCTATCGTTTTTGCCCCTTCGCAAGTAAATGACAAGTATGAAAATATAGAATCACGTGAACCTGTCGTTAAGCCTGTCTGAAACGGTCGACTACCGGTGCTACGATATTCATTGTTGATAGAGCTCATTCTGCCTTTTGTGACAGTTCTGTCTCAAGGGTGAACAATCTGATCATCGGTATTCAAGGGTTTCGGTAACGACCATTTTCATTAAATTAAATCCAACTGAAAGCGTATTAAATGTCTGAATCTATAGCGGTTTATCTTATGAGTGATACCGCAGGCTAATCGATGACCTTATGCTACAAGAGGACTTCATCTAGAGGTAAGAACCTCAATCTGTCAAATGATCTGCACTCTATTTCAAACTTAATCCTATGACTAACGTAGTCTGTTTATCAGGGTTGATAGAGTTGCTTATGCACATAAAAGAACATCTATGTCACAGAAGGGACTCTGAGGGGCACCATTTGTGACAGCTTCTGTTCATTGAGCTTATTTGTGGGGCTGATTTCGGAATCCAGCTTAAGCCAGGCGAGCATTATTTTATAGACAATATCTATAGCTATGGGGTACATGTAGCTTGTAACCTTCTGTTCCTTGCTGCACAAAGTGGTATTGATTTATCTACCTCTGTAGAACGAAGATTAATAACCTCAGCGAGGCTTGAGCTCATCGTCTTTCAAACTGTGAGGCCGCGCTCAACCGACTGAGCAGCTACTGTAACAGTAAAAGTGATGGATGATCTAGATGAACCATAATTTAAGCATGATGTCGGTAAATGGAGAAGATATCCTTCTTTACGACATTGATAGCCAACAACTGAATAATTTAGCCTATAATTTCTGTGCGAAGTTGCAGTCGTTCATTGCTACTCTGAACGTAGGACGATGTTGTCATATGACGACATCAGAGTTGTTTATTGAAAGATTATTGCAATTAATTATTAATAAAAGTACAACTTTGCATTAAAATCAATTATAGAACAAGGCGTCGAAAAGGTTTTGCTCGAAATTATAGTCACATGTAAATGATCGAAAATGAAGCTGAAACATACTCAGAGCTTGAATGGCCACTTCGATCTTCTTTCCGGGCCAGTACCTGTTCAGTGACAGAAACATGACCTTGTTGTTTGGCACGATGTCTACTGCTGAACGCCGGTCACATGCATCAAGGTCAGCAGAAATCGTCGGGTACAGAATAGAACAATTGCGCTTCGACAAAGACGGGAGAAAGTGCTGCACTTTGCATCCTAAAGTTGTACCGTTATCGTTCAGTTGCGTAACAAGAACTGTTCGAAAATAATCATCATGAATCATAAAACTAACAAAAGTGACAACATTTACTTCAGAAACAGCGTGCATAACTTCAGTAAGTAGCACTGCCAATTGGCAGGCTTTTTGAAATTCGACCGTGGCAGAGCATGCAGAAGTTGGCTAATGGTCCAGCAGCACAACCATCAGCTGGCTAGAACACGGTCGCTGGTGTCCTCGATTAGTGACAGACGAGTAAACACTGTATTGCCACAACGCAGCTGTTGCTTCCTCTCCCGTTAAGGAAAATTTGTAACAGTAGGAATGCCGGGCTCATGATTAATCGCCAGTTTTTGTGCCCTTCTTTTCTTACGGTTTATGACGCAGCGCTGAACTCCATTTCAATGCCCTCGGCCAGGAATGTCTTAGCTTTCTAAGGTAAAGTCTATAGCCATGCGGCAAGCGTAGCGTAGAGTCTCCTGTTTTCTTCTCACAGAGTGGTGTTCATTTATCAACCTCGAAAGGAAAGGAAGGTGAGTTTCCGGACCAGGGCTAAAACCTGCTACCTCTCGTTCCGAGCTCGACATTCAACAGATTGAGTAACTTCGGTCAGTATTTCAGAGTACGCAACGACCTCAGTTTCTACAACAAACACTGACGGACAAAAAATATTTTTTCGTGCATTGAAAGCTTAGTAATTACAGTAACAACGTTAATTTGGATGGGGATACTTTTATTGGGTAGTGAAAAAGCACCAAAGGTTAATTATTAAACAACGCAAAGCAACGGTCTCTCAGGTGATTAACTAATACCCACGTTTCGGCTCGTATCAGCTGCATATTGTTTTGAGAACGCGTTTTCACTCTCCAGCCACTGAGAGGTAGTGGAAATTGGGTTCAGGAGCGCCCTAAGGAGGAAGGAGTTTGCTTCAGTGCCTAATTCTCTTTGAGTAAAGAATCCTATTGCTTCGATGCAACCAGCCGAAAAACAGATAGCAGCTCGTTCACTTTCGAGTAGCGGAACGCATGGTTAAATCTGTGTCAGCGAGAGCTACAGTCACGCATTTTGACACGTGGTAATTAGTACATGCTGCAACTCTTGCTGCAGTCTAAAACGGCTGGATCATTGGAATTATTTTATATTCCCAAAGATTCAACATAGTATGTGATACACCTCACTCTTTCTCAATGCAAATGGCTTTGGGTGTGGTATGAGATAATCCTTTATTTCGGCCTTTGGCATAGAAACTATTATATTCAGGTAACGTTTTTTGCAACACTTGTAAAAACGACTTCCAAAAAATGTGATTATTATATTCTGACAAAGAAGACCTTCGATGGGTTGATCGAGGAGATGTTCTCCTCACCTTTCTTCTCAATGCGTAAATCAGTCAGTG